CCATTTACAATAATAACAATATGTAATATATTTATTGTTATTAGTGTTTGTCAAAATAAAACAAATATGAAAAAAAAATATGATATGAAAAAATCAATTTTACCATCAAATAATCAACATAAACATACAGTAACAAGAAAATGTTCAGCACAAATGTCCGATAAATCCACAAAAGTATTTGTATCGATTAATGATAATAAAAAAATGACTAATCTACTTAATTCAAATTGTAAGTATTATCAAACAATGAATTTACTTCTAAATATAATATTTCTTTTTTATTTTAGCTGATTGGCAATCAAATCAAATCGATCCTCTATCAGAGAAACTATTATTAACCGGTGATCAATCAGTTAATTCAAGTGAAACCACAACAACAACAGTCTTAGAACATGGACAATTATCTTTAACTCTAAAACATGAAAATTCAATATCTACAAGATGTATTTCGCCATCGCCATCAAATTCTCAAAAAATGTGTGTACAATTTCAAATAACCATAAGTTTATTGGCTATATCAATTTGTTTTATTCTTTGTACATTACCAAATTGTATAACAACAATTATGATTCAAGCATATGCCAATGATGATCAGAAGAGAAAACTATGGCAAGCTATGAATTATCTTTCTATTATTCCATTATTAATAACACATTCTGTTAATTTAATTTTTTATTATTTATCATCGAATATGTTTCGAGAACGTTTTAAAGAATATTATTTGAAAAAATAAATTTAATATTTGATTTCTTTCTTATATAGATGTTGTCAGTTTTCTTCTTTTTTTTTATTATTATGATTATGACATAATCAAGTGTCATTTTCTCGTCTACCGCTTTTTTATAATTAAATAAATAGATCGACGTCATAGTGACATCTCATGCAATCATTATAAATAAGTTATTATTTGGCATGCATTGATTTTCTTTTCCGTCTTTTAATATTATCAATCAATTCTAGTTTATTTACTTACGAAATTAATTTATGTATATGAAATATGATCTGATCTTCAGTCATCTTAATTAGTTTTCCTTTTCCTTTCTATCTACTTAAATAAATAAACTTTGAGAATAGTGATAAATGTATGTATCATCAAGTAGAAAGAAAACCCCGGAATTGATAAGCTATTCTTGTAGAATTTTACTAAAGAAAAAAACTCGTTGTTAAACATAGTAAAATAACGAATAGAAATACACTAAAACTTATGAAAATCAATTGTTTAGATGTAAATTGTACTGTTCGTCGATTATATATTGGTACTTGTTCAAGTGTTAAATACTGATTATTATCTGTTATAGGAGAAATTTGGATTTGTTTATCATCGGAATGTAAACAAAGAATTTCATCTCCAGCTCCATTTCGTTTTATTAAATCTATTGTTTTATTTATATTAATATTTGTAATTGATTGTGATACATGTACTATTGAATGAGAATAGTCACTTGTCATAAGAGCACTCTCTATACGAATAGCATCACTATTTCTTTGAGAATTATCTCGATTTACACATGAATAATGATTATTTGTTGTTATATCAGTTGAACTTTGTATTAAACGATGTAGCAATTTAGTTTTTTTATTAATATCATGTGAATTTTGATTAAAATTTTGTTTATTTAAGCAAGTAATTGAATTTGATAATGAATAAATCATAAGAATCAAATCAAATCGATCAATTTGAATAATCAATTGAATATTTTTATTAGTAATAAAACTAAATGATGAAATGATGATTAATTTTTGATGATTTATTAGAATTTGAAGTGAAAGTGACAATGAAAAGAGTAACATAGACGTATATCGGTAAGATGAACAAGCAAATAGGATACCCGCCAGATATATCTACTGATTATTAATAAAAATCGATGTTTATAATTCATTTGATCTTTTATTTTCTAACTTATTAATTAAAAATCGTTTATAATTAAACTTAAGAGATGTGCGAAAAGAGAGATAAAATTATAAAGTGTTTTGACATTATTATAAAAAATTTTTGCATTTGAAAATATTCATGCATGAATAATATCTTCTCTTTAGAAGATTTACCGAATCACTGCATTGAATATACGTTTGAAGTTATTTATTTATAATCAAATTGAAGATTTAATAATAAAAAAATATACCAGGTAAAATGATCTTTTAAACTTTTGTAAATAAACTATTCTTGAATGATAAATATATAATTATTTCTTTTATTTTTATGTAGAATATTTCAGTTATGCAGATTAACAAGTATTATTTTTCAGGCATAAAAATATGAATTAATATTTGATAAATTTACTTAAGAAAGTACGGAATTTTATATCGAATACTGGAATATTAAAGCTTTCTTATCATATTCTTTTCTTTCCGAGAATTCATCATGTTAATTAAATAATATTTTATTGAATATTTTTATCATATTGATGTAATATTTCAAGTGCATTCTTACAATTAAAGCATTTTTATGCTATGCATGACACAAGATGAACATATTTGATTGTAAAAGATTTATTATGGCGCAGTTAATCTTTTTTTTTTGATTTATTCTAACTGTTTACAGTTGAATTTGATTATACTATAATCATAATCTTAGAATGTTTCATTATTAATAGATAGAACAATATCAATGAATAATAATAATTTTTATAGACGAAGATATGCTTTGCTATGTTCAAATATCGTTTAGGTTTTAACAAGCGCTTAATACTTTTTTGAATTAATCACTATGACTTATCAAAGATTAAATTTACTGGTTTATGTATTTACTTGTTTGGAGTGAGAGAATTATCTTAATATCAGAAAAATCATTCTAAATGTGAAGGTGCTAGTGCAACTGTATTAGTAGCTGCTTTATGGCTTTATAAACAATTGTTAGAAAATGGCAAAGCTGGACTACGAAGAAAATTGAACAAAAAGAATCAATAAAAGTTGTGGTAATATTAACTAATGCTGTTATTGATAATCAAATGATTATCAAATGTTGAAATGAAACTTTATAAAGTGAAATTTTTTTCAGAAAACTTTTCTCTTCTGTAATTGTAATGACTAAACAGCTTAGAGACAAAATATAAGTTAAATTCAATCTATGATTAAACATTGCTTCATGTTGTTTAATGTATAGACAAAAGCATGTATACATTTATTTTATTGTTCAATTATTCATTATTTATGGCACTTTACAGAAAAATAAGCGGAAAGCGTACGAATCATACAACAATAAGTAAACTGATATAGTTTTATAGATAATCATTGAAGGCGAAATCGTTGAACCCTATAATTATTTTGGTCTGCAACATATAGATAAGTTTCAGTTGAATCGAGAGCCACATCGCCTGGATTATTCAAAAGATAAGCAGTATTACCCGATGCCCCACTTATACCAGCGACGACCGATCCTGCACTGGCACCAATTATCCATTTCATAATTCGATTATTGAGTTTATCAGCAACGTAAAGAGTTTGACCATCACGTGTAACACACATTCCTGTAGGGCTATTCAACTGATTCAAACCTGCTCCTGCACCATTACCACCTGCCACTGTCACTCCTGTCCCATTACCACCAATGATAAACTGCTGAATGCGATTGTTGCTGGAATCACTGACATAGAATACACCTCGATCTTCGTCTAAACGAACATAGCGAACCCCCGAAAGTTTAGTACTAGTACTACCTGAACTTCCCATTTGTCCAGCAACAACTGTTACACTAGTAGCATTTGGTGCCAGTTTTACTACTGCAGAACACGTCCACAATCCTATATAGATATTACCAGATTGATCAACTGCTATACCATAAGGATAGTAGAGTCCATTGAGTGAGCACGAACTTGTCGATAGCCCCGCAGTTGGAAAGCTTCTAATAATAGTCCCTGACCGTTGAACAAGCACAGTACCATTATGAAGCTTTCGATCGGCCATATAGATAGTATTCGAGTTGTCAACAAAGATACCCACAGGGTCAATATCACCGCTTGAGAAAATTACTTGTTCTGTGCGCGAAAATGGTGAGAAAGCTAGAAAAGCTGGATAATATTCGTCGGCAACGTACAGAGTTCCATCCACTGAAGAAACAGCAAGACCCCAAGGACCTGGTAGTTTAGTAGCATTGCTACCAATACTACCATTACAATAACCAGCCACTGTTTGACCATAACCTATGGCTGGAACTGCAATAATAAAGAAAAATATATTATACCAATAACTATTTTATAATTGAAGTGATCAACAATAGCACATTGGATTATGCAAAAATATTAAACTCTAAAAAATATCTCCATTGCCCTAGTTCTTAATCTGAATGGTACTATACTGTTTCGAATAGTATAATAATAAACAAGGAATTCTAGCTCTAAGAAAAATAGTATTCAATTGACTTACGGACTGAACATCGGTATGTGAAATCGCAACTTGGTTGACAAGTGAGATTCAAATCTGATCGGCATGCATTTGCCTGTAAACAAGTTTGATTTTGAAGAAGTTGTGGTAGACATACAGAACCATTATAGAATGTATTTAAAGGACATTGAATGTATGATGGACTAGTAGTGTATGATGGGCTAGTAGTGTATGATGGACTAGTAGTGTGTGATGGAATTGTAGTGTATGATGGACTAGTATTGATATTATTTGATGGACTAGTATTGATATTATATGACGCACTAGTATTGTTATTGATATCATATAATGGACCAGTATTGTTGTTGATATTGTATGATGGACTAGTAGTGTATGAAGGACTAGAAGTGTGTGATGGAGTTGTAGTGTACGATGGACTAGTATTGATATTATTTGACAAACTAGTATTGATATCATCTGATGGACTAGTATTGTTGTTGATATCATATGATGGGCTAGTATTGTTATTGATATTGTATGATGGACTAGTATCGTTGTTGATATCATATGACTGATTGTGAATATTAGCATACATACTGGATGATAATAGAATACTACCAACAGACGATAAAGGTTTTGAAGACGATGGAACAATAGAGCCTGTTGTTAGATTAGCGTCCCATAAGCGACACTGCTTTGAATCAATATCAAAGTCGAATACTCGGCAATCTCTACGTGCATTACATTGAATAGCACAATCTATGAAAGATTTTGCCAGAAATGTAAACAGAGGAGGAAAAGAATTATTCATAGGAATAAATTCTGTGCCCATACTACTTATATCATATAGAGACTGATCTTCTATACTCCATTCTATGAGAATCAGTAATCCAACAATAAGAATTAAGAATGTATTGTGAAAAAATCTCGCCATAACACGTTCATATATCACTGAAAAGAAATTATTTCAGTAAATGACAGTAGTGCATTGAATATTTAAAATACAATATAAAAACGCATTTACTGTGGGTGTTTTCTCATTTCTAGTTTTAAGTCGAGTAAAATTTCATATAAAAAACGTGATGTTTTTAAAAATTTTAATTATAGTTAGCAAATATATTTATACAAGCAGAAAATTAGTTTCTATAATTATTGAGTTTATGAAAGAAATTACTCGATTTAATTATGTTTCTCATCAAACTACTGAAATTACATATGTATGGAAGCAAAACTATATTTTATCAGTCAAACTATCCTCAATTGTAGGCAGCTGTACGTAAATAAAAAATCCCATTGTGATGAACTTTTAATGAATCAAACATAAAAAAGATAAGATTATTGTATATAGTAGAGTATATTATAGCAAATAAATATTAAGAAAATTTGAAATATTCTGAAATAAATAATATTCATATACTATCAAAAGATATGATTGTTTGAACATGGATCAACTTATAATCTATCGTTTTTTTTCTTTAAATCAAAAACAAAAAGTTTGCAAGACACAAAATACAATTGATTTTGATAATTTTCGAGTGACTCATAAATAGAATGATTAATATTTAAAATCTAAAGTTACTTACCAACGACGATATAAGTATAGAGAATGATGAAAATAGATGTATAAAAAAGTATAAATATCTATTAAAGAAACGCATAAAAGATCTGATATTAGTTGAAATAAAAACATAGAAAGACGAAAAATAAAATTGAAGTTATATAAAGGTAATAAATAAACTTAATATTAGCTTGTTATCTAACAGAATAAATTATTATTCTTCAATAATATTCTTTTTAATCAAACAATTGAATGATATTCATATGGAATTTTATTTTAATATTGATGATAATATCAGTAAATCCAATTAATGGAAAATAATGGATTTGGTCAACACCTTCGATACAAACTATCGATATATACAATGAATCATCTCTTATACGATTAGCAGTTATGATCTATAAATCAGATACAACTGACATACAAAATTATCTTATTGTTATGGATGGTAAAGATCGTTTAAATTATACATCATTATTAATAGTTTATAAATATTTTTTAATATCTAATTCATATTATGATATTGTTCTAGTGTATTGAATATTTAAAATACAATATAAAAATGTATTTACTGTAGGCGTTTTCTCAGCTATAATTTTAAGTCGAACAAAATTTTATATAAAAAAACATGATGTTTTTAAAAATTTCAATCGTAATTTTAAATTATATTTATTCAAGCAGATAATTAGTTTCTATAATTATTGAGTTTATGAAAGAAATTACTCGATTTAATTATATTTCTCATCAAAATACTGAAATTACATATGTATGGAAGGAAAACTATATTTTATTAGTCGAACTGTCCTCAACTGTAGACAGATATACGTAAATAGAAAAATCCCATTGTGATGAACTTTTAGTGGATCAAGCATAAAAAAGATAAGATCATTGTATATATTAGAGCATACATGTATATATATTATGTTTATGAACAGATACGAGTTTTCTGATAGTATATCACTTTTATCGATTCGATACACAATACTTATATAATAAATAAAACAAAACTCAAAAATCTGACATAGTTGAACAAAAATGAAATAAATAAGACAAAAGAAAAACAATTTATCATTATTCTATCAAAACAACGAGAGAAAAAAAATCACATAGCAACAAAAGTGGCTAAATCAAAGATCTGATAATGAATATAAATAATAAACAGAAGAAGAAGAAAAAACAATCTAGTTAAACAAGTTGTTTATTTCTAAACCAAAATGATCCAACAAGAGTTTTTATTTGAGCACCATAACTCTAAAATAAGGGTGGGCTTGTCTTTCATTACTCTCACCCACACCCTCGAGATGAAATAGTTCTCGGCTGAGACCTTTCTATTGAGAAATTATGGTGGGTGCTTTTTGTCAACATATGGCTAATATATGTACATGATGAAAAAGGTGTTTTACAGAATTTCAAAAAAGCTTTGGAGATCTCTGGAAAACAAACCTTTTTTTTTGCTATATAGAACTGTAAGACACTATTGTGCACGAGCAGGTCCTTACTATTTACACTTACAAGGAACTTTTCAGGATTTCGTTGATTTTCTTCTCATTTTTTCATACTTTGCAGCCATTTGCACTCTTTTCAGAGCTTTCCAAAGCTTTTTTGAAATTCTGTAAAACACCTTTTCATCATGTACATATATTAGCCATATGTTGACAAAAAGCACCCACCCTAATTTCTCAATAGAAAGGCCTCAGCCGAGAACTGTTCCATCTTGAGGGTGTGGGTGAGAGTAATGAAAGACAAACCCACATCCACATCCTCAAGAAATTTCAACATATATATGTAATTAATTTTTACAACGTATATAAAACGAATGTTTTTCTTTCTTTATCTTGAGTATATATTTAACTTGTTTATGACATCATCAGTTAAATTCTTTATCGTTACAGTAGGTATTTTCATAAGATACAAGTGATGGTTTTTTCCTTTATTTTTCTCATATGATTATCTTGTATATTTAAATGCACATTTTGTCATTAATATCAGAGTAAATTTACAGCTCTGATGGCAACTAATGAATGTATTGTACATACTTCTAAATATCGATCAAAATTTAATCATGCTGTTAATTTAATTCGGCGTGACAAAAATTATGAAGGACATGTTTATTATGAATTATCCAAACGATGTTGTTCATGTTATGAAAAAAAAGGTGAATTTTATATGATAAAATACATATAATATTTATTTTCATTTTAGGTTTGAACATAATTGATCTTAATGTACTGATTAATATATGTGATGAAATTGTTTTGGATCGATTAAAAGAACCAAAAATAGATAAAACTTTTTATGTTTGTACTCTTCCATTCGAACCAGAAGTAGACTTTCGACAGCGTCAAGCAAGAATTGGTCGTTTCGTTGGGAAAAAAGGTGAAACTTTAATTGCTTTGCAAGACAAATATGATATTCATGTTTATTTTATCAATAAACGTTCTAACTGGGGATTTGTTAAAAGATGTCTCAATCTAAAAGATCGTGGTGAAATACATTACATAATTTATGGACCTAATCAGTATGTGTTAATTAAAAGAAAAAACAAATTGATGTTAGATACAATTCCTATTGATGAAATAAAACAAGAAATAATTAAAAAATGGGAAGAAACAAATGAAAGTCAATTGCTTGAAAGAGAATTGACTTTTGATCAAAATCAATTTCAAGTTGTATCTCTTTCATTCATACCGAGATCTGGGTGGATGTTTGAACGTTATGAAATAATGGAGCGTTTTTTAGGAGAAAAAAATGAAAATTTACACAAGTTAGAAGATCAATATAATGTTCGTTTACATGTTATTAAAAATGACTGTTTCTGTTTTAAATACAAATATTTTCAGAAACTTCTTCAAATTCAAGAAGATAATTTTGATCAGTTCTTTATAGTCATTACTAAGAAAAACAAATCAATAACAAATGAAATTCCTATTGATGAAATTAAAGAACGAATTACTAAACAATGGAAAATAGAAAATATTGAATTGATTGACTCAGATGAATCATTTCCATTCATGTCTCTTTCATTCGATCCAAACAGTTTTATACCAGAACGCATAAAAAAAGTTCATCTTTTTATTGGAAGAAATGGTCAAAATTTATATGCATTGCAAGAAAAATATCATATTTACATAGAAATTATATATAAATATTCGAACAAGAATATTCAAATGAAATCTACTAAATTATTAGATAAAGAAAAATTACATAAAGTTTATTTATTAATCACAAATAAAGACAAATCAATAATGAATGAGATTCATTTTGATCAGATTAAACGAGAAATAATTAATCAATGGAAAAAAATCAAAGAAATTGATTCTGCCACAAATATGTCTTATAGCAATCATGCTGTACCATCGAAACAACCGGATTTTGATTATCAATGGCATGAACAGAAATACCGTCGTCGGAAATGAATTTTTTCATTTTCATTTAAAATTTATAACAACTAGAACTTTTAAGAGAAATCTGTTATTATCGATAATTTTTACCAAGTTTTCTTCGAAGAATAAAATTTCTAAGGTTAATCAATAACACAAAAGGAGATATACACACGAACAAGTTAAAGGATAAAAGTTCTAATATAAATAAACGAAATCAAATGAAGAGAAAATTCTAACAAATCGATTTCTGATTTATATAGATGAATCATTTTTCAATAATAATGTACCAAAACAAGAAGAAAAAAGACAATACTGACCAACATCTAACTAGGGTGTGTGTGTAAGAGCGCGGGTGTCGGTAATGAAAGAAAACACCCACACATCCACACCCTCAAGAAAATAATGATCGTGTTTCGATCTCGATAATGTACAAGATTTTGTCCTCAATGATTCTCATTTCTTGCAAGTAGTTTCCTGATTATTTGCATGATGTTAATAGCAATTCTATTGTACTCCGAAGACGAAGTGTTGTAAGAAACTAAAGAAAAAAAAAATAGCGGTGCGGGTGATGGTCTAGGTGAGAGTAAATGATCTTATCATTACCTGCATCCACACTGGAGCGGAGTAAAGGTTCCTCACATAATAAGAATTAGTATTATCAAACAAAATCAACCAATTCTTGTATGAAAAGAAAGATTTTATTAATTGGCAGCAGCAATGCTTTCTTGTTAATATAATGCCGTTAATTTTTAAATATATGTATATATATTATGTTAATGAATAGATACGAAAATTTTCTGATAGTATATCACTTTTATCGATTCGATAAACAATACTTATATAATAAATAAAACAAAACTTGTAAATCTGACATAGTGGAACAAAAACGAAATAAATAATACAAAAGAAAAACAATTTTTTATAAGCACAAATATGTGAAATATTTAATCATAATCAGTATGCAATCGATTTTCTGATGGATCATATTTATCAGAAGCTGGAAAAAATTGTGGTGATCCATTATCGTCACTTGAAGAAATGATATCATTTGTATTATTATTATTTTTCATATCATCTTCCATAGTTTGAGTTGATTGTTCATGAAATGTTTTTGGTTCTGGTAAAACAAATTGAAAATCAAGTTCAGTATTTAAAGTGTCATCATCTGCAAATGATAACAACCATGCACGTAATTCATCGATCTATATAACAATATAATTTTAAAAAGTTAATTATTCAACACTAGATACTTACTTTATCACAATCATTATCATTAAATGTATAAGTAAAACTACTCTGTGCAATTGGATCATAACCTGTATCATCATTATTATCAAATATGAGCCTAGAAAAGAATTTAATATTTATTTTAATTTATCATAAATGAAAATATACATACCAACTATAATAATTAGAAGATTTCATTTGTATACAACCACTTTCAGGTTTATATGTAGTAATCTATTTAATGATGATGATGAATAATAATATTAGATATATTTTGATTTATAAATATTTACTTTCATTCGATGTAAACGAATAATATGTCCAATTTCAATATCAACAGGGAGTTCAATCATACCAGCAAATGATTCGCGATATAAAAGACAACTAACACCTTTTGGACCTAAAATAAAAAATTTTTTATCAATTATATGCATATAAATTTTATTATATTTACCTTTTCCATATGATGTTGGATCACATATACCTAACAACATACAATTATCATTGATTTCACGTCGAAATTTAACAACACCATAGAAACACCATTTAGCTCCACTTGGTTGAATCAATTGATATAATTCATTTATTGTTTTATATTCATACTAATAATAATGGTAACACAAATCTTTGAATTTTCTTCTATCACATACTTTCTTAGCTAGTTCAGTTGTTGTAATAGTTGTCGATAGTCTCGATGGCATTTATCTAAAAACCAGAAAAACAAAATCAAACAAGAGGAAAAACAATAAATCGACTGATGATTCAACGTTTGTTGTTTATAAATTCTTGCCGAAACAGAATAACAAGAAGTACAATGCAAATAAACGAAAAGAGAGAAGAAAAAGAAAACAAAAGCTTCAATCAACTGACAAACATATTGTACAAAATAATTTCCATCTTGTTCGTGTTATATCGAACAAAAAATGAAAAGACATATGATTGAGCAAAATATCGAATGTACAGTATATGTATATAAATGACAGAAAAGAACAAACATATACAAATAGCATCTTTGACATAGTTGCTCAAGCAAAAAAAAAGAACATAAACAGACATGCACCACCGGTTTGAAACGATACTGTTTGAATAGATGATTAATAAGTAAAATAAGATTATTTTTGTTGTTTTTGTATTCTTTGATGTTGATTATCATCTTGTTTAAGTATACGTATTTGTGTTTTATAAGCTTGTGAAAGTCCTTTTTGCCAAAAACGTATTAATGCTAAATCACTCATATTTTCAACATTAAATATTGTCATTTGTTGACGATCATTTGTTGAGAGTGTTGCTGCTGTTTGACAACGACCAAGTTGAAAATGAAGTTTTGCTTTGCTTAAAAATAAAAGAAAATAAAGTAGTTAATCATTTGTAATTACAAAGCGAAATCTCTTAGATAATGATACATGAACTATACAAATGAGATTCATTACTATTGTAATTCTTACTTTAAATATTTGATCTTATGTTGTGTAATAATTGATTCAAATGCTTCTTCATTTAAATTACTATCTGTAAATAGATCAATAATTGTTTTCACATAAGTTGGTACTAAAAAAATATAGTTTTCAAAGATATTTTTTGTTAACAAAAGAAAAAGAAAAAACTAACTAGGAATTTCTGATCTTGTTAGAGGTAATGTTTCTAATTTAACCACACGAAGATTATCATCAATATCATCAAAAATAAGTTTAATAACAATTGAATTATTATCATTTAAAATTTCTGTTAATGATGATGTATCATTTGTTAAAACAATATCTGTATCATATAAAATAAAATTAGCTGTATGTAATCCTTTTTGATTAGTTGCTTCAACTAAATGAAAACAACCATCAGGTAAAAATAACTAAATTGATAGAAAAAAAGAAAAAGAATATTTAATAAAAACGAAAACAAGAATAAATTTTTTTTTGTTGTGTCTTACTCGAAAAATACTTGCTAAAGCACAAATTAAATCTTTACTATCCATTCTATTGGTATATTTAAGAATTAATCGATTTCCAATAACCCAATTATTTAGAATATATTGTAAATATTTAATATTATTTAATTTTTTTATAAATAATTCAAATAATTTTAATGCTTCATAACCATAAGATGAAAATTGATATTGTAATGAATCGAAATCATCTTCATCATCATAGTAACCATTTTCATTTTGATGATAATTATCAATCGTTGAATAAAGTGATGTTGATAAATAACCTGGATTAGGTGTGTAATTTGTTAATGTTGAAGATAGTAATAATGAATCTTGAACATGAATTGATGTTGATCTTGATACAATTGTTGTTGTTCGACGTTTTGTTAAAGAATTAGAGAGATTTTCATTATCATATACATCTAAAGAAAATATTATAAGATTTCAATTTAAACATTGAAATATTAATTTACCTTTTCGTTCTTGTTTTGTTGTTTGTTCTTCAGTTGGTAAAGCATCAAAAAGTGATTCATTTATTGCTGAATTAGACATCCGAAGTAACCAAACAAATAATGCATGTATACGAAATGTTATTTTCGAATCATGAACAATATCACTAAGCATTCGTTGTGAAGGAACGCATGGTGGTGTACGAAAAATATATGTCGTTCTTGTAGTTGTTGATGTTCCATTTAAATTTGTATTTACTTTAATACGTCCTTCTTGTTCATAAGTTTCATTTGCATCATATTGTAACCAATAAACAGCTTGTCTTAAACAATCACTAAGAAGTTTCATTATTGACAGTAGATGATATTTATCCGAACAGATATAACATAATGAATAAAGACGTTGACTTCCACGTGCATGAAAATCTTTACAGGAAAATGCTAATGATAAACAATAGCCATTAACATCATCACCAAATAATATTGGAGCATCAACTTCAACTGATTTCTATACGATAAAAAAAAAGAAATATATGTTTAGATACTATATGAAAGTATTTGTAGTAGGATCAACAGATCGTTCGGAAGTGTCTATGTTCTTCTTCTCATAGAGAAGAGTTCAGTAACAATTAATTGTTTGCTTGCTTGTCTGTCCGCAGGGTCAAAAAAACGGTTCTACTGTAAAACGTCGAAAGTAAAAATGTCGGAAAGAACGTGGTAGGTAGCGCCATTTTTCGACATTTTTAATTTTCGACGTTTTACAGTGGAACCAGCTGAGGAAGTTCTCGGACCAGCTTTACTTGTACATTGTAGGGGAATAAAACTGTTTCTACATCAGATCCGATTATTTGATTTCATCATCTACGATATGTTCAATATTAGTTGAACCAATCAGATATTTTTTTAAGTTCAATTTCGATATTATATTCAGCAAATGTTTAAACTATTCTTCAATTTATCAATTTTTGTATTATGTATAAAACAATTCAATTTCTTATTACAAACTAAACTTATGTACTATGATATTGTTTTTTTTCAATTTTCCACCAATTTCCTTATCTAGAGAATGCAATCATATATAGTCAATAAAAGATAAACGATAAAGTAAGAGGTCAAAAAAACATAGTACATCTGTTCCCATTTAGAAAATACGTCTCCCATAAAATCTTATGCATTAGATTTGAAATTAGTCATAAGTGCATATAAAAATGTCTAAATGTTATTTCGAATAAGATTGAAAATGAATGATATCTTCAAAAGGAAAATAATTTTAATTAATTCTATAACATACCTCAATATTTAAACTTCGTACACATGCATTTCTTATATTTTTAAATAAATCTTGATTAGGTGTTGATGATGATGAGATATATAACATATGATTATCAGAATCAATCGTTGAAACAAGAGCACTTTCAGGTGATAATGTACATGACTAAATAAAATAAAATATTTTATTAAAAAATAAGAAAGAAGTTTTGTCTTTACTTTGCATTCAACTTTTCCCTGTGGATTTTCTGATTTAATATATTGTGAATAAAATGTTTTTATATCTTCATCATCATTATCATTAGCATTTTGAATATGCGCTCTTTGTTCTGTACACAATAATGTTTGTGGTCCATGTAAATCGCAAAAATGTTGTAATGCACAAGACGCATTCATAAAAACATTAACGTATTAATACGAACATGTACAAAGTGAAAAACTAATTAGGAAAAAAAACCTGAAAGCAAAAGAATAATCTAAAAAAAGAAAATTTTTTTTTATCGTCGAGATTCATCATTAATGAATAAAAAAAAGCAAAAAACAAAAGAAAGACAATATAAATTCTAAGTATTATCGAACGAATAATTTAAAACCGTGATATGTATCAATAACACGTGGTACTAATAAATGGAATCGCCATCGTTTTATACAATTGAATGTATATAAAAATGGATAGATAAATAATGATGGAATGTATGTTAAAAGATGATAGATTAAATGAAGACGTTTTAAAAATGAATGTTCATTTAAATAAATATCAACATCAGCATTTGTTGGATGATGAAAATTAAATTCAGGATAATAATATGAAAATGAACATTTAGGTTCAAGATGATTGGCACGCCATGATGCACTCGAATCATGACTTTGTTTTGATGTTTCATTATTCATATTTAATTTCAACCATATTTCTGTAAATATTCCTAAACGCACTTGACCTAATTCAATTAATTTTGGCATCTTTTTTTGTCGATTAAATGTTTGTAAAACAATAAAAACACTTGGTTTACATGAATTATTAAATGTTTGACAACGTATTTGTTTTAGCCATTTATATGAATAAAATGTATCAAATAAAAGAATTAATCTTGATGTTGATGATGCAGTTTCATTTTCACACCACCATTGAAGAAGAAGATTTAATGTTATTGTTTGATTATCTTTAAAAATCAAAAAAAGAAACATGTCAAAATTTTCGTTAATCAAAAGTATATGAAAACTTTTTTTACCAGCTAAAATTATATCACCATTATCACATGTTGGACCAGAAAAATATAAAAAATATGTATCATAACGTCTTCCATCGTTAGTACGACGTGCAAAAAATGCTTTTAATTTTGTATCAATAAAATTCATGGTTATACCAGATGAAGAATAATCACAGCCAAATATATCAATTAAATTATTTGTCATAAAACGCTGAAGACCATTAAGTATATTTGTACAACGTTGACTACTATCATAAGCTTCCTGTTGCGAAAGAATCTGAACACTTCTACTATAAATATATCAACAAACGAAAAAATAAAATGATTTTAAATTAAAAATATATTATTACCTATTGGAAAATAATCCATTATCACGAATTCTAATAACAAAAAGAAAGAAATATCAATTACTGATGTTTTATTTTCGAATAATAAGTTTTACCATCAAATTCTTTTATTATATACTACAATGTTAAATACATTAGATTTGATTAATTCTTTAAAATTATCTGTAGCATTAATCTTTGAGTCTTTATCGAAACTATATACAGAATCAGATCAATCGTAAAGATCTATTTTTATTTAAAATATATTCGTTGAATAGTGTACATTGAGTGATAGCATCATAGACACAATTATCTAACATATTTATATCGATTGTATCGTTATCAACGTAAAAATATTTCATTGCTATTTAAATTGATTTATTATCTGAATATTGTTTTTATGCTATTGATAGTACAAATTATAATGAAAATGGAAAAAATTAATTATTGAAATACGGAGGAGTTTTTGTTTTCGCTATTCATTGTATTCTTCAGTTTGAAATAGAAACTTAGCGCTTAAAGGTCAATTATTCCATCTGTTTCTTCCATTATGTGAAATCAATATCAAGTTTTTCAAACAAAACATGAAAAGAAAAATTTTTAATAGTTTCTTTTAATAGAGATAATGTACGAAGAAGCCTATTTTATGTAAAGTACATTCAGAACATAGATAGTCTTGGAAGTACAATATTTATTTAATAAAATACTTTGAATTAATTCTCATTCTTTTTAACATTTTGTCAAAGCGCGATTCCTTAGTCATGACTAAAATATCACATTCATGCATGGAAAATTTTCTGAATAATTGAACTATATTTAATACAATTTCCTTTCAGAGACTATAACAAAAAGTAAACGGAAATGAATTATTCTCTTTAAAATAGTAAAACCCCCATATGTTCATTTACTTTTATGTTATCTATAACTATTAAAAGCTAAAAAGTTATTTCCTGTAATTATAAAACAAAAAACTTACTCAACAGCTGGTGCAACTAATGCATAACCAATACATGATCCACCAACAATTGATGTAAGTTGTTTGACAAGTGCCAAAATTAAACATTCGAAATGAATTGTTAAAAGAAATAAAACAATTGAATAATTTGTACATGTATCATAATGTAATAAACTAATAAAACATGTTAATAATGTTGAACATACAAGAATTGGCCATGTAATAAGACCAAAATATCGAATACCTTTATATTAGGAAATACTTGAAGTTTTTATTCTGATTAGAAATTTTTTTTATAAATTACCTCTTGATGCCATTAATTTAATAAATGAAATTTTATGTTTTTCATTATCAATATTCGTATGAATCATAGTTAAATAACAATCAATTAATTTATTTGATAACATCCAAAGTAAACTAAATGTTAATGAACGAAATATAAACCATATTCCTACACTTATAACAAACATTGGTACAATAATAAACCATTCATCATGTAAACGAACTGTTAATCCAATAACATAAATACAACGAAATGGCAATAAATAATAAATACATATCATAAGACGTTGAAAAATTGTTCGATATGAATTTGATAAATGTAATAATAATATCCAACGTTCAAGCGATGTCAATGGAATAAAATATAGTTCAATTATAGGTCGACCAAGAATACGTATAAGAAAACAAAAACATGCAATATAAGAATAGGGTGTATAATAATTATAGAAATAAATTAAATTAAATGATAAAAGTATAAATGAATGAAAAGCACGTAAACGTAATGTTATAATTAAGAAAAAGAATGATAATATTAGATAATAAAGTGATGTTAATTGTGATGTTAGATATAAACCAATACTAAAACCAATTAATTCAGCTAATTCATTGTAATGTATAAAATGAAATGTTGTATTATTTAATAAATATATCAAATTTGATAGGAATGAACATATTATTGATAAAATTAAAAGAAAATTAAATATAACTAAATGTGTTGTTGATGTAATCGTAGTTGATACAAATGTAAATATTGATAATGAAAGAGATAATGATAAAAAAAATGATGTTAAAAATAGAAATATTTTGGAAAATATATTTGGTAATAAACGTGTTAAAAAAAATAATATTATATAAAATATTAAAATGAGTAATAATATCCAATGTGATATAAAATGTACATTAGAATTATATTTAATAATAAATAAATCATATGAACAAGCAATAAAAATAAGAAAATTTGATAAACATAATAAAATTCGATCAATAGCTTTAATTGGCATCTGAAAAATAAATTAAAAGTATTGAGTTTTTTATTACAATCAATAAGGAATATATGTAAAAATAGATATTTTTTTCTTTTCGTCTTTTATTTAATCATTCTAACTCAAGCAAAAGATTCGATTCCTGCATTTTCAGTCGTTTTAATTCAGCAAAATGGCCAATTGTTTGTAAATGTAGACAATGCCGTACAATTATTGAGAATTTTTGACTTGCTATAAATTGTCCATGTCGTTCTGTTAAATATAACCATAATAATTCCGTGTATTTCTCTTGAACTTTATATACACGCATTGTATCTATATATTCATCATATGTGCAATAGGTCGAAAAAAGTAAAATTATTAATAATAATCGAATACTAGTGGAATCATTCATCTGATCTTTAAATGTATGTAATAAATCTTCTGATTCTTTAAGTAAATCTCCATAGATTGTTTGAAGTAGAAGATTAATTGCAGGCCATAATGGTGTATCATTGCTTATTGTCTCCATTAAACTAATTCGTACTAAAAATCTCATATTATGTTTGCATAATGCAGTTTGTTGATTAGGTGGTAATTGTTTAAGTTCTGGTATACGTTCAAAAAAGTTAATTAATAATGTTTCATGTTTAGTATAATATTGAATATAATTTTGCATTTTAATTCTTGATTTAATTGGTTGTTGACCGAGTGCTTCTACTTCACTTCTTTCAAATGATAATAGTGGTAAACGACAATATTCTTCATAAGCATTATAAATGTTTGTTAAATAACTTGAATCGATTTCTTTTAATTGAGTATTTATTTTCAAATTGAATAAATTAATTGGACGTATTATGCCTAATGTCATTTGACGATTGGCGAGAATTTTTTCACGTTTTATACGTTTTAAATCATCAGTTAATATTAAATCTTTTTTCATGCCAACTTCAAAACATTTTTTTAAACGACAATATGAACAATCACGACGTGTTTTTATATTAATAGCACAATTTTCTGATAAATATCGACATTGAAGTGATTGTAAACCAAACAAAGCATTGCGACGAAAAAACGCTTTACAGCACATGCATGTTATCACAGCAAAATTGAAGCCTGTTGCTGCTGCTCCGCAAACCGTACAGATCAAATCTTTATGACAAACAGATGATTTTCCATCGGTATTTGACATATCTGTAATTTCTAAAAGTTGTTTACGTTTTTTACTACCTGTACACTCCATGTGAGTTAGTTCAGAGCAGATTATACTTCATTGAGAAAATTGTCCTTTGATTTTTATCAACTACATAAGCAGTACAATCGATGAATGAAATAACGTTGAATGTAGCGGTGATGATTAATAATTATTATATATATACAATGAAGAATTTATTTCCAGTGACATCTTTAGTTTTTTATTTAATAATTAAATAAAAAAATTTCCGAAATAAACATTTTTTAGTAATTTTATTATTTTTTATTGAAAAATTTAAAATTTTTATTCAAGGTTTTTTTAGTTATTTTGTATTGGTTAATGCAATTTGGTTTACGTGGTGGTAGAAATAGTACGAGTGAAACGATTACGATTACTTGTACGTGCCTATTTTATTCGTTTTTTTTTCGAAGATCGACAAAGATGTTTATCAAGACACAATTGATTTTACTTGCATTAATAGCTGTTGTATACAGTCAAACAGATGATGAAGAATCATTTTTATTTGTTACAAAACAAACAGCTAATCGTTTTATTGTACAAGATAAAGAATTAACTATTAAATATGGTTTATATAACTCTGGACCAACGTATGAATATCATTTCTATAGAAGTTCGGCTTTTTTAAAAATATTATATCAACTTTCGTTTTTAGAACCGTTTTCAATGTTAATTTGAATGATGTTCATAGTTATCCATCAACTAGCTATGAATTACTTGTCGGTACACTTACTCCAAAATGGGAACGAATTAATGCGTATGTTTTTATTATGAAAAAAGAAATCATTAGTTTTTATGAAACATATAATTTAATTTAGTGGAAGTAATTTAACTCATGTTGTTGTTTTGAAACCAAAACAAAATGGTATTAGCAATAGTTCACATGCTGTTGTTACATATCAAAAGAGTGAAAAAACCAGTGATGTTCAAGTAAGAGGAAAAATTCTTTACTTATTTTTATTAATACCTATCAGAATCATTCACTTGTATAATACGAGTTAGTCATAACCATGTTCGTAGTTTCCCATGATAGATAATAATATCCGTTCTTTCAATTAATATATCGTACATTCTCTATTTCATATATTTTTTATATTTCTAGAGAACTTATTCATCTGAAATCGGTGATGTTTACATAATGACAACCCGTGAATATGATCGACGATTTTCATCACATATTGTAAATTTTATATTTTTATAATATTCAAATTTAGAATAAGACTGTCTGTTTTTTTTTAGATTGATTGGATACTCTTTACTGCTATGGCAAGTCCATGTATCGTTTTTCCATTCTTTCTTTGGTTCAACAGCAAACGAAAATACGAATCATTAGTGTCAAAAGATCGATCAGCAAAAAAAGCTCAATAGATACATAAACATTGAAAAACAAATCAAATATATATTTGTTGATCCGACGTGCCATACTCTTCTTCTTCTTCTCCTTCATCTTCTTTTTTCTTTGTTTTTTATTTTATTTTTCAACTCGTCATGTCTACGGTGATTGTGTCTGTTTGTTAGTTACGTCTTTATGGTTATTGTTATTTGTTGCAAACAAAGAAACCTTCTTTTGTTGTTTGTTTTTAGACTTGCCGTCGATCTATTTTTTTTCTTTATTGTTATTTATGCGGAGAAAATAGGGAAAGATGATTTTAAAAGAACATCATTGTCTGAAAATCGTAAATTTTAAAAAAAACTTCTGAGAATGTTATAGATCAACAGAGCTTTATTGTAAGCAACAGTTTCATATGAAAGATAACATACCTAAATTAGTCATGCTAGTATTACAGATGTGACAGTTCAAGTTCATGAACTGATATGGAAATGCAATAGAAAAAGAATAAATGATATTTCAGCTATGTGATTAGTATTTCTTTAATTCGTTGACATGCTCACTCCTAAGCAACATCTTTATTTTGATATGATAATATTCCAATGTAGTATTTCACCACTTAATACATTTCGTTATTCATGCAATTCAAGGTCAAAAGAATTTTATAATAAAAAAAATCATTAACATGTTATAATTAGTATAAAAATAAATTCTTTTCTATAGTAATTTATCAAAACTATAGATAAGACATACTCTTCAGCATTAACATCATCGTTGCTCTATCAAAACCAAATTAATCTTTATTACATTCGTTAAATTTAAGTAACATGTACAAATGTTAAACTTCTACTTCGTTCAATACATTTTCCAATATTGGTCTATTGATAGATTGTGAAGCAATTTTGATTTCATTGCTAGATTGTGTTGTTAAACGACGCGCTGGATATACACTTATACGTGGTATCGAACTTGATCGACGTTTATTTAAACCATTTCTAAGTTCATGTTCACTTGAAAGAAGATCACTTTTAGTTTGTCTTCGACGTCGCGGTATATGATTACCATCTTTACTTAATTTTGTTTGTATAAAATCACAAACATCACTTACTGTGTCAATAGTAGCTGCACGAAATTTTGAACCAGCCAAACAATAAAAAAGAAAATTGGTCTAAAACAAAACAAAAAATATTAATCCTGAAGCAAATATATTCTTGTTGATAACTTACTGCTGAACTCATTTGAAGCCAAAGAACAGACAAATTTGTCATTAAAAAACGTAGTTTTAATCGTTTTACATCATGATGTTTTGGTGGATTCATTTGACGAATATAATCAACAATAGCAGGTGTTGTAAATAAATAAAAACCGAATGAAACAGTAACAAGCATTACTGTTAATTGTCTTTGTTTTCGATTAAATGAAACAGCACCCAATTGATGAATAGCATTTTCAGGATTCATTAATGTTTGTTGTCGTTGTCGTTTAGCCATAAATAATTCATAAATAACAAATAAATTTGCTAATAACAATAGATCAGGTACAAAATAAAATATTGTTGGTTTTATAAAACGTATTATTCTTTGATATCGATATCGAACACCACATTTTTGTTGAATTTTATCTATTGTATATATAAAAGGGAATGTTGATGAAAATAAAATAAATGCAAATAATATAAGAATATATATTGAAGAACGTGCACGTTCTGTTGTACAAAAACGTTTAGCTAAAAATGGTGAACGTACAGCAACACAACGTTCTAACGTCATTATAACGATAATCCAAACACTACAAAATGTAACAAGATCAGTTAGATAAGTAAGAAAACAATGTGCTATATATGAATGAATTAAATGTGAAGTTGCTAAACTTGTTATATGAACAACAAGTACAGATATGTCAAATATAGCTAAATATGTTATGAATACACTTGATGACGTATCACGTAATGAACGACGATTTATAACAATAAGTGCAAGACCATTTCCAATTATGCCACATATAACCATAACAATTTCCATAATTGTAATCCAAAAATTAACTTTTTGTATAAATTCAGTTATTTCCATTCGAATTAAACTATCATTTAAAACTGGAACAACAATAACAGAATTACTTAAATTATATTCATCACCGAATAGAAAAAAACCAGTAAAATTACTTGTATTCATAATAGAAAAATCTAAAGAAAGAAAATATATTTCTCTACATTTAATTTCTATGAAATCAAATATTTTCTTATCATTTTACTTGCTATCACGAGATACGAAATATTATACTCTTTGTCTAATTTATCACCATATATATATATATATTCTATATAAGTTTTTTCTTTATATACATATAGAACGTATCTGGAATCCTCGTTTGTCTGTATCATATTGATTATCACTCGTTTGTATATTCAACTCAACGGTTAATTTGTCATTTTTTCAAACTATACATAGATGTGTTTTTTAATAACAGAAAACAAACTTACATCCTCGATATTTATATATATATTATGATATACTATTATTATTATCAAGGGTAGATTAAATCATCGAAGTCTATATATATATATATTAACTTTAATAAAAACAAATGATTTCTGTTCAATAAAATGAAGAAAAACAAAAGAATAGGATTATTCTTATTTTTTATAGATAGAAATAATCCAAGGTCATATAATTTACTTACTGTTAAAAGCCAAGATTGATTTTTTGTTGTCTGACTACATCAAAGATGAAAGAAAGCAATTTTTCTTTGTTTATTTTATTGATATGTAGTTCTGTTTTCGGACAGACCAATTAATTGATCATTTTTTTTCTTTTATCAAATACAAAAAAACATCTAGTCTTATCGGATCTCACTTATGTTCTTTGAAATATGATATGAGTATTGTACGAATACATAACTAACTGTGAAAATAGGTTTACCATAAAGAATAATGACTAATGGGAGATAGTAAGATCCCTAACGCGCACACTATAGTTCTATATATATATACGATCAATGACTTGAAACGAATGTGCATAAAAAAATGTTAAAAGCTAAAGTATTTAGTAACAATTGATCAATTTTCTATGACGCATAAAAATATACTCATGATATAGAAGATAGTCTGATATATCCATAGACATCTGGTAAGATATTCGTCTCGATGTTGTTTTTGTTGATTATCGCTTTGGGTAGATGCATTATTCATTCTAACTAGGATGTCGACTATCTAAAAAGAATGACCTTAATATTCTATCTAGCAATCGTATCCAGATTGTGGCTTTTTTCTTCTTTGTGTATAGATAATCGAACGGAAAATGTTAGTAATAAAAAGTCGAGAAAAAGAAATAAGTTAATGTCGGCAATTTTCTTTTCTCCTTTTTTTTTCTTTATTGATCTAGTCAAATTCTTGAATCAGACATATTAATATATTAATATATATAAAAATTATACAAATGTATTTCAATAAATTATATATATATACTTGACAATAGAAAAATATACTTTTCATAATATAATATCTAATAAATGGATCTCATATGTATCTAAGACTATTTTTCTTCTTTGACAACTGAGATTATTAATGATCTCCTATTGACAAAAACAAAAAAAGACAACTCGACATGATATTACTTACTAAAGAAAATTAATTACTTCATTTGTAATAGATTATAACATTTAGAAATCTTATATGCTATTAATAAATCAGGATACGAACAGATGTAGGAATGTTAATAAACTACAAAATACATATAATTAAGTATAAGAAAAACTAATAAGTATAGTAACAAGAAAAAGAAGAATTTGAAATTGAATAATATAACATTTGTTACAATAGATTTTTTTCGATAAAACAAATATTTATTTAATGTAAGAATATATTTGCTTTAATTTTAAAATAAAAACAGAAAAATAATAGATTATTATATCGAAATAGATTTCATCAAGTTCTGTTTATTGTATCTCATTCTAGATCTAATGACATATGATGAATGTTTCCTTCTCTATATGGATAATAGTAGAAAGCAAAAACTCGTACTTAGAATATCACGATAATAGAAACTGAAAAATCGATTTACATTATATACAATATCCATAATAAAGTACCGGAAAGAAGTAAAATGCTTTTATTACTATATTGTAATACGAACATATTTATGACACCCTCTTCATAATATTTATTTCTCTCATTTTCAATTTAATAATAAGTATCTAGAATATCTATAACAATAATATTCAATTAGAAAATAAATGATTGTGTCAAAAACATTGAATATATATTTGATATTAATGCGATTATGACTATGTCCTAATTGAGAACAAAAATTACACGTTTTTCCGCCCTCGCCCACGCTGTCGGTTTGATCTTTGTTCGCAATCAGGAAGCGACGGAAATCATTTTCAATACTCAAAATTGCAGCCTAAATTATCTTCATTTATCATAACAATCATTCTTTTGGTAGTTTTAATTCAAATAGTATTTATTCTAGAAAAAAAATCCTATTTTCTTTTCATAATATAATAAATAAATAAATAAACAAAAACCAAAAAAAACGTTGTCATTTATATAAATATTGAAATTAACAACTTTAATTTATTATAGGTTCATAAGTTAAATGACATTTTGCATCGACTGATTCAACTTTCATATTTGTTAAATTTGAACGAAAATCATTTGAAACTTTTGTAACAGATAAATGTGCTGATACAAATAATAATGCTGTACATGGCATAGCTACAATGAATATTAAAAAGAACAGACGATCAAGTACTAATGCAACTTGTTGCCATTCATCTAAACGTTGTTGATTATTAATATTTAATAGATCATTATCTGGATCATATTCATTTTTGATATATGGTGGAAAGATACAATGTGTACGTATCTGTCCTTTTAGTTGTTGTAAACATCTTAATAATTCACCAGCCTTAAGAATAAAAGTTTAAAATAAAAACGAAATCTATAGAATTTCTAATAGTTTACTTGTTGATTAGGCATTCGAATTGATGATGTTACGGAAAATATATTACACATACGTTTTTCAATACTACCTAAACGTCTTGGTCTTGTTTCTTTTGGAAATGCTTTTGAAACATGTTTTTGTTTTTTATTTTTTTGTCTACTGCAGTAAACAATAGGACTTATATAATCAAGTAATATAATTTTCATATATAATGGCACATGAGCTACATTTGATGTTGATGGACGATGATATAAATATAGAACATAAACGGTCATAATACATGATAAGAAAACTAAAAAAAAATTTGCATTACAAAATAATGTTAATATTGGTGTTTCATCATCGGATTTTGGAATATATTCACTAATTAATTGTAAATATATAACTAACGATAAAAGTATTGTAACATTTAATGTTAATTTTTCACCTGTTTGTGGTGGTAATAAAAATGTAAATAATGTTACAAATGATACAAGTGTATATGGTAAAATAACTTTCATTAAATAATATAAACGATTACGTTTTAATATTAATGTAAAACGTACAAGACTATAATTAACTTGACCAAAATCAGATACACTTTCATCTGTTATTTCCATATATGAATGAATTAATTCCCATTCACCACGTATAAATGAATGACCTTCAATAGGACGTCGTTGTATAAATTTTATTGAATGACTATCATGTCCACCACTACGAATTATTATTGTACAATGTTGATGATCAAATGGAAAATATGTTAAACGAACTTTACATATTGTTTTCCATAAATCTTGAAACATAAATCGAACATAACCTACGAAAAACAAAAATCTCATTAAAATTGAAACAAGTTCTAAACATATACCATCATGTCGAAGAATAAGTGCATAATGTTCACGATTTCGAGAAAATTTTCTATCAGCTGAATTAACTAAAACAACATTCGGTGTCCATAAATAATCTGCACCAACTGAAAGTGCAGTTATATTATAACGACTAAGATTCCATGACATATATGGATCACACCATGCACATACTAATTGTATATTACTTGTAACTATCTATATTTTCGAAATAAAACAAAAAAAGAATGAATCATCAATATAAAAGAAAAACAGAAATAAACCTGTGCTTTTTCATCAACACTTTCAATTTGAAGTAAAATTAAATTTGTATAAACTTTAGTAACACCTTTTTCCGGACAAACATGGTTATCATATGGTCTTTCATGAAATAATAATCGTCGAAGTCCAACTTCATTTGTTCTTACATATGAATATAATATAGTATTATATAGAAATATTAAGAAAAATCTTTGTAAGACATTTAATGGATTAGTTGAATGTTTCATGATGATTATTCTGATTTAAACAAATGTATTAGATAAATATGACAAGAAAAATGGCAGTTAGCAGAGTGTTAAAACTAAGCAATTCCCAATAGATAAGATTTTCTCTATGTGTATGTCAATTTCATATTGAAATTGACAAGCAAAACCGGATATCTTCGCTTTTCTATAAATGCTTTCGATTTCTTTTTTCTTTTATCATTTCTTTTCTAATCGTAGTCAATAAGAAAACCCTATTAGGGTGCATTGGTTGTTAATTCTTGTCGTAACTAGCCGAAAGCTAAATGAGAAAAAAAAAGCAAGAACACGTCTATTCTAAGCATGCGTATATTAAGTAAAAAAAGAATGAGTTATTATCTTGTTTCTCGCTTGTATAATACGACAATTGATGTTTTTTTTTCTTCTTTACAATAAATGCTATTTCATTAATTGAAATATATTATTCTTCCTCTCGTCTTTAGTTCAATTGAATAACATTTATTATTTTAGCAAAATACAAATGTATTATTGTATTATTATTTCAAAGTTGTTGCAGTACATAGAAGAAGAAAAAAACTGAGCGCAAATATATATATGCAAAGTGGTTTAATGTTTGGTTTAATTTCATCGTTCTTTAACAACAAAAAAGCATTTCTTTTTTTTTTTGTGTAAAAAGAAAAAAAAAGGAATTATAATGTATACATTGAAATCTATAGACTAATTATGTTGCTATAAGATGTTGGTAGCTAAGTAAAACATCGAAGTGATTGAAAATAACAACAAAAATTTTAAATGCTTTTTTTTCAAAATGAAATATATTTTCTTTTCCTGTTGAACTAAAAGGAAAAGAAAGAATAAAGTTTTTCTTCATATGACATATTTTTTGTTCGATGAAAGACGGTACTTCAATATTTGAACATACCAATTAAATGTAAGTACGGATATAAAGAGTATTCTTTTATTTCCGTGAATCGTTCTTATCTTCTTCGTAGTAGCGGAACTACGATTTCGGAAGAGAGAAGAGACGCTTCTATTTTTTTCTCTTTCAAAAGAAGGATGATTATAAATCAAAAATACATATTGAAATGTATCCAAGGTTATGTAAACTAGTTTCAATTGAAAAAATAATTTTCAACAATAAGAAACAACAACTGTACTTTTGCCTTTGTTTCTTTCATCTCAGATTTGTCATAAATATTTAAACATTTGTAGACAACAACAAAAAAAACGAAAGAATGAGAGATAGAATAAGAGAATTTATGCATAGGTATATGCTTTAGTAATTGTTTCAGCTTTTTGATTTGTTTTGTTGACACACATAGACGTAGTCGTCAACAGGAGCATTTAAATCTGTGAACATTGTTGTTTTTACGTGAAACAAAAAAATAGAGTACTGGAAAAAAAAAGAAAAAGAAAAAAATACTCTTTTATTCCATTCACATAAACAATAAAATATTTTCTCATTGACAGACAGTAAGTATATATGAATTTTGTACTACCAGTAAATGTCAAGGATAGACAATTAATTTCCATATAATTAGATCAAAATATGGTTTTCGAAATATCATCTGTTAAATCTGGTTCTCGTTTTGGTGGACTTTCATCTAGTAAGTTCTTCGTTCGAAATTGTCCTCATCCACAACGTGTACGACATCTTGAAGGTATATGAAAATATGATTGAACTTTAATATCTATAAATTTTTATTCAGGTTTAAATGGATCAATGATTTGTAATGTCAATGATGATCTTACTCGAAATCGTCCTAAACGTAATAAGTCACTTAATATACATAAAAATAATCTGCCTGTAATTGAAAGAACACGTCGTGTTGAACGACTAGTGCCACCAGTAGATTTTTGGCATGCTCATGGTGTTCGTAAGTATTTTATAGATATTATTACTTATTTGTTTTCTATTAAAATTTATTTTTAAGTTCCTGATACAGATTCTTGGAAACAAGAATTAGCTAGTCTAGCTACAGCTAGTGGTATAGCAGTAGAAAAAGATGATCAAAAATATTCAAATAAACCATCAACAGCTGATGATCAAAAAAATTCATTACGTTCCGGTGCTCATTATTCAAGACAAACAGGACGTTTTAATGAAGGAACTTCAAAATCACGAGGCCGTACAGCAACTAAACGTGGTACTGGTCAATCAGAAGCATTATTTAATGTGCCTGAGAATGAAAGAGACATGTGGGTAAGAGAAAATTATCGAATAAAAAAGAGGACAAAAAGGAAAAAAGCTTCATTTATTGTTTTTTTTTATCATACATCTCAATAACAAATATAAAGGTCTAAGCAACGAGAGTAAACATTCAAAGTGTAAAGAGCCTATAGGATGTTATTATTGATTTTAAGAAAGAAAAAAATTGATTTAAAAATTAAATTAAAATGATTTTTATGTTTAAATCTAAACGTATGATAAATATGTTGAAAACAAAAATATATGCCATAACATATTTGTTTTATAAAAAAATAAAATAATAGAATTCTATATTTAAAGTGAATAATTAATGCATATTTGATTTGCTAATTGTTGTATAATGAAGATCAATCGTTCTAAAATAATAATTGTCATGATTTAGAAAAAGCGGAAATGAATTCTATTTTATTAATAAATAAGTTGTCAGATTCTATTATCATAAATGTCATCATCTTTTAATAAGCCTTTAGACAAAGAGATAATATATTTTTGTATGAAATAGATGTTACAAGTTCTTTGTCAAATTCTTGATACAAGTAATTTGGAAGATGTTCAATCATGGCTTGTTTCATCTTCACCATATGGTATATTTTATCTATATATATATCTTTCATAAATTTATTTATTTTGGTCTTGATTGTATAGAAAAAGAACAAGCTCGTACAATGATTAATTCTGCATTACAAGGTTTGAAAGAATCTGAACGTACATCACATCAACTTAATGAACCTATTGATTTTGATTCATTATGTAATTTTGTTGAAAGGTAAGAAAAAACTTATATTATTATTAAATTCTTGTTTTTGAATTTAGACAAAAAAATGAAGAACAAAATGCTTCACAAAAATATATCAATGATGCTCTTAATCAAACTGCACCTGTTTTACAATCTGTTTATGAACAAGAACAACAACCTAATTATGCTTTAAATGATACATGGGATGTAGGATTAAATAGTACGAGTAGTTATATTTTTGGAGCAAATAACAAAAATGAACCATATAATGAATATGAACAAAATCAACAACAAGATAATAATCAAGTACAACAAACTGAGATATTAGAACTTGATGATGATAATCGACGACCTCAAACAACATCACCAACAAAAGTAATAAGATTTGCTAATAGCTATGAATCACCTAGACAACGACCGGTGACAAGTCTTAGACATAGTTATAATGTTGAATCTGCTCCAAGTAATGATGATATGGTCGATTATACTATAATTGATATGACTGGAAGTAAAACTAAATTTGATTATGAAGATTATTTAGTGGAGAAAAAACGATCACGTCGACTTCGTGAATTACAAAAGAAATTAGCACGTCAAGAAGAAGAATCAAAAAAATTATTTGAAGAATTACAAACAAAACAAATACGACTTGAAAATGCAATTCGAACACTTGCTAAACAAGGTTCAGCTCGTAATAAAAATCCAGATGGATTACTTGATCCGATTGAAAGTAAATATCATTGATTATTTCTTTTTTTTTATAAAATTTTGAATTTTTCATCAAAAAATTTAGATCCACCAGTTGTCAACGTTATCATTCAACCACCAAAAGACAAGGAACATCGTAGTAAATCAAGTAAACCAAGATATACACCATTTATTCATGCTGATACAAAATCTAAAAAAAATCAAGATAATTATAATATTGAAGATGTTAAAGTACAAATTAGTCTTTCACGTCTCGATAATCAACAACCTAAAGTTGTTTATAGTGGTGGATGGAAACCGGATACTGAAACATTGCCATATATCCAAGGATGTTAGAACAAATCTTCATTTAAAAATATTTATTCGTATATAGAAATATAAATGAACATTTAATAAAAGTATTTGTGAAGAAAAATAAAACTGAAATATATAACAACAAATGATCTAATAAATTAATTCCTTTTTTTTTAATAGTTTTATATTATTTCTTCAAAGCTTAAGAAAATGAAAGATAAAAAAGATGTGTTTCTTTTTTCAACCAATTTGATTTCGATGTATTGAAAATATATAAATAATTTGTGTAAGTAATGTAAAACTTGATAGTATCAATGCTATGATTTCCAAACCAGTAGCCCAATCATGACGAATAATATAATGTCTATTAATTTCTTGTGTAATATTCATTTTATAATTATCTTTTTCTTCTTGACTTTCTAAATAAAAATTGTAAATGTATAAAAAACAAAACTAAATCTTTAAACATACTTAACGTATCTAATTTACAATCTAATCCGTAAACATATTGATATAAATCATATGACATCGTCGAACCATGTAAAATAAGTGTTATCAAAATGAATATCAATCCAAAAACTAATAATACTATAGTTATAGCTGATATATAAAAATGAATTTTGTATTTATATTGATTAAGTAATATATGTGACGAAATTAAAAGTAAAGCTATACTAAGTGTAATAGCAGCAATTATTGTACATGACATAAGACCTTTTGTTATTGATGAATAATCACATTTACATGGATTATTAGGAAGATTACATAAACGATGTTTTTCATTATCATTTGTTACATTGTGAATATTGAAACATTCTTTATTACAATGAAAATCATATTTATTTTGATCACAAACGGAATATATCCTATTTTGAGTAGATGTAACGTCAATCAGATGATTTTCACAACGATGATTTAGGCCAATAAATATTGTTTTATTGTGTATTTCACGATGATCATATACTCTATAAAAATATAGATCATATTTATATCTTTCTTGTAAAATACATGTTACTTACTTCCATCGAGGATATCCCATTGCCACGAAATGAAAAATTAATGTAAGACTAAGTAGAACTAAGCTGAAACTAATATAGATGCGAGTTGTTTCAATCATATTATAAAGAGTGTTATCAAATGTAGAGTTTTCAACTATTATACGTCTACCTATTGTATCGTAATCCGATCACTAAAAGAATATGTATAGTACAGAACACAAAAAAACATGATATTCATTTTTTTCTCGATCTATTATTGGGTTTTTTTCATTCTATCACTTTAATTTGTGTTCGATAATACATAATAAAGTAGACTGAGATCAATTTCGTTTTTGTATTTTACATTCGATAGTATAACGGTTTTCTTTTTATTTGTTCATGATATCGTTGATACATTTCTTCTTCCTTGAAAAAAAAATATATTTGTTTCATGTATTTAGATTAGATTTTATTTCTTTTCGAAGTATGAAAATACAAAACTAAATCAACACATATTTAAAAGTAAATTTGAATTTATTAATGCTTCTGTCCATTTTATCCTGAGGATTTTTTTTGGATAACCAGCTCTTTGATGAATGATATTATTAAAAGAAAAATTTTAATATCTTGTTACGTAAATGTATATCATTATCAAATAGTGTTGTATTGTAGGGTGTGGGTGTGAACTTAAATTGATGGTTTCATCCACCGACATCCTCGTTTGTGGTCTCAATCTGAATTGTTGTATCGAAATTTGTATATCGATTGTTTCATTGATCAAAATGTCTTCGGAAGGAAAATACACAAAGGGGATTACTTCATATGACAAATATTGTCACGAATGGAAATAAAACACGACTCTCGACTGTAAAATAGGG